ATATTTATATGTTATTGCTGACAACAGAAGCAAATATCTTCTAAAAATACAAAAAGTACACAAATCTATATTTATTTTTGCAGTACATGAAAAAGAAAATGAGGAGGAAAAATATCCATCCAAGATAAAACTAAAAAACTTCTAAACTACCAAATGATTATTTCTAATAAAAATGAAATTTGTTGTCCCAAATTATACCAAAGGGTGTTTGATTCTCATTTTTTCGAAAATACTTTTTTCTCTGGCTTATTTTCGAGAATACATTCTTTATTAAAATAATATTTCAAACAAATCAAATACTTTTTCTTTTTTTTTTTTAACCACACATTTTCATCTATCAACCAGGCCCGGTCTTGGGCACAGGCCTGCCTGTGCCTCAAGGCCAAAATCATAGGGGGCCTATTTTGGCCCAAATTTTTTTTTTTTTGTAATTAAAAGAAGAAAAAGGAAGAGAGTTTTTTCATTAATTGTGAGATTATTGAGATATTTATTTGTTGTTTTAATGTTGAGTTTTAAGTTAGTAATATATTAGATAACACACCGTTGAATTTTGTATTTACGTTGATTTTGGGGCCTAATTTTTGAACTTCGTCCTGGCCCCGACAATGACAGGACCCGCCCTGCTATCAACTATTCCAAAATACATTCTTAGTGGTAGGGCTCGAACACCCCCAGGTGTATCAGCATGTTTGGCTAAGCTCATAAATAAATAAGCTTCTATTTGTGAAAGTAAAAAATAGAGATTACGTTTTTTTTTTTATTTTGGGGGAGGAAACGTTGATAACTTTTCATAAATAAATTTTTTTTTTTTAAAAGGTACATCATCTGAAGCATATAGTATGACAAATACTTTATCAATGCACAACAAATATCCAAGAAAATCTACTAAATAGATGCAAAAACAAACATAATGATCGTGTTTCTCTGCAGATCAACAGTTCTAGTGTATCTATACGTATAAAGCCATGTATATATACGAAGAGGCAGACCTGGATGAGTTCCATGAGGAAATGAACATCTTTAGCGTAAAGCTCTGCAGAGAGATTTTTAACAGCCTGATGAAGATCCTCTGTCAGTGGATTCGCTTCTTCAGCTCCGATCGAAAACTTGTTTCTTCTTATTTTCTCTATGTGCTCCCTTGGTGTCTCCATTCTTATCGCCCTGTGATCTCACAATACGACTTTTCAGTGTATCGCTCTGAAGATTGAAGGACAAATGTGAGACATGAAGAAGCAGTTGAATAGCTTTAGCATGT